TGTATAAACTGTCCTGCTTCGACTTGCTCCAATATCCATCTAATTGAATAGATAAAAAGGGAAGGAAGCGAACGGCAAAGAAGGCGAATGACAAGAGAAATAAACAGTAAGGGAAGCGAATGGTGAAGAAGGAAGGCAAACAGCAAGAGAATGGTAAGGGAGACGAACAAAGAAAAAAGAATGGTAAAGGAGACGAACAAAGAAAGAAGAAAATGAACGAACAACAGGGAGGCGAATGGCAAGGAAGGTGAACAGCAAGAAAATGGTAACAGAGAAAGAAGAATAGAATAAACAAAGAAAGGAAGAGGAAGCAAGGAAGACAAGACGAACAAGGAAAGCGAATGGTAAAGAAGAAAGAAAAACGGCAAGAGAATGGTAAGAGAGGCCAACAAGGAAAGAAAAAACAAGAAAGACAAGATGAACGGCAAGAAAAGCAAATGGTGAGAAAAGCCAACAAGAAAAGAAGAATAGAACGAACGAATAACGGAAGAAGAAGCAAGAAAGACAAGACGAACAAGGAAAGCAAATAGTGAAAAAGGAAGGTGAATGATAAAAATAATAAGGAGGCGAACAAAGAAAAAAGAAAACGAACGGCAAGGGAGGCGAACAAAGAAATAAAGCGAACGAACAACGGGAGAAACAAATGACAAGGAAGGAAGGAAAATGGCAAAAGAATGGTGAGAGAGGCCAACAAGAAAAGAAGAAGCAAGAAGACAAGACAAACGGCAAGAAAAGCGTATGATGAGGGAGGGAAGTTAACAAGGAAATGAAAATAGAACAACAAGGAAGACAAAACGAATGGCAAGGAAAGCGAATGGCGAAAAAGGAAGGCAAATGATAAGAGAATAATGAGGAGGCGAACAAAAAAAATAGAAAACAAACGGCAAGAGAGGCAAATAATAAGGAAAAGAAGCGAACAAAGAAATAATAAAACGAACGAACAACGGGAGAAACAAATGACAAGGAAAGAAGGAAAACGGCAAGAGAATGGTGAGGGAGGCCAACAAGGAAAAAAGCAAGGAAGACAAGACGAACGGCAAGGAAAACGAATGGTGAAGCCAGAAGAAGAAGCAAGGAAGACAAGACGAACAAGGAAAGCGAATGGTGAAAAAGGAAGGCGAATGGTAAAAGAATAGTGAGGAGGCGAACAAAGAAAAAAGAAAACAAACGGAAAAGAAGCAAACGAACAACAGGAGAAGCAAATGGCAAGAAAGGAAGGAAAACGGCAAAAGAATGGTGAGGGAGGTCAACAAGAAAAGAAGAAGTAAAGAAGACAAGACGAACAGCAAGAAAAGCGAATGGTGAGGGAGGCCAACAAGGAAAGAAATATAGAACGAACGAATAACGGAAGAAGAAGCAAGATAAAACAAACGACAAGAAAACGAATAGTGAAAAAAAAAGGCGAATGGTAAAAGAATGGTGCGGAGGCGAACAAAGAAAAAAGAAAACAAACAGCAAGGGAGATAAATGAACAATGAGGGAAGCGAATGCCAAGGAAGGAAGGAAAACGGCAAGAAAATGGTGAGGGAGGCCAACAAGGAAAGAAGAAACAAGGAAGACAAGACGAACGGCAAGAAAAGAAAAAGCAAGGAAGACAAGACGAATGGCAAGGAAAGCAAATAGTAATAGAATGGTGAGGAGGCAAACAAAGAAAAAAGAAAACGAACGGAAAAGAAGCAAACGAACAACAGGAGAAATAAATGGCAAGGAAGAAAGAAAAATGGCAAGAGAATAGTGAGAGAGACCAACAAGGAAAGAAGAAGCAAGAAAGACAAAATGGACGGCAAAGGAGGCGAATGGTAAGGAAGGTAAATGGCATGAGAATAGTAAGGAAGGCGAATGGAGAAGGTAAAATAGGAATGTATAAGGAGGAAGAAATGAATGGTAAATTTAAAAGTGAGAGAAACAAACGAAGAAATTAAAGGAAAATAAATAAATGTAGGGATAGACAAATGGATAAATAAAAATTAAATAAATAAAGAATAGTGAAATGGGCGAAATGAATAAAAGTAATAAATAATGGGTAAAGAGTAGGGGAATAGGTAGTAAGTGTAGTGGGAAAAGAAATTAATAAATAAAAAAATATGTATAATGACATATGTAATAAATAAATAAAATATAACTTACCGAAGATGAAAACACCGATAATGTCTTTTAAAAGCCATAATTATCCCAGCATCCATCGGCTGAATTTTTGAGGTGGTATTAGGAGGAAGAAAATAAACATCGACATAATCGAGTTTTACACCTTCAATCTTGTGACTTGAACAATTATCAAGTAATAAAAGCACACGTTGACCTTTGTGTTTTTGCATTACTTGATAATTAAACTCTCGAA